GATTTCACCAGATTCAGCGACACGGTCATACCCCATTTTCACGACAGTGATATTGTCACTCATCTTCGGTTCAAAATCGAATTGGAATAATACTTTGTCGCTCCTGTCAACTTGATGACTGGTTTGAATTATGAGCATCAGTGAGAAAAGCTAATATGATTGTTCAACTGCATTTCAGCGACACAGACATGACCTCATTTTAACGACACATAAAATCGTCACCTCTCTGTATTTCGTAATCGTACTGTAACAATACTCTGTTGATGCTATCTCCATGTTGATTGGTTTGAAATATGAGCAACGTTGACAAAAGCTGAAGTAATGATTCGACCGGCTATCAGCGACACGGCCATGACCTCATTTTTACGACACAGATATTCGTCACTTATATCCCGCTTACAATTGCACTGTAGCGATATTCTGTCACTGCCGTGACTTTGATGACTGGTTTGAATTGTGAGGATCAGTGAGAAAAGCTATTGTAATGATTTAACCGGATTTCAGAGTAATGACATGTACCCCATTTTGACGACAGACAATCGTCTCTTATTTTTCGTTCTCAATTCAGTTCTAAGAAAAATCTATTGCTGATATCATCTTGATGATTGGTTTAAGGCATGTGCAACGGTGACAAAAGCTAAATAATTCAAACGGTTTTCAGAGAATTGTCAGTTACCCCATTTTCACGACAGAGTCAATGGTCTCTTAAATGCCGCTTAAAATTGTACTGTAACAATACCCTGTCGCTGCGACCACCTTGATCATCACAATGATTCTACCGGAATTCAGAAAAATGCCATTTACCCCATTTTGACGACACAGTCAATGGTCTCTTAAATCTCGCTTATAATTGTACTGTAACAATACCCTGTAGCTGCTACCACCTCCATCATTGGTTACAGTATTAACCACGGTGAATAGCCTAAAGTAATGATTTCACCAAATTCGGCGACATGGTCATAACCCCATTTTCCCGGCACTGATATTGTCACTCATCTTCGGTTCAAAATCGAATTGGAACAATGCTTTGTCGCTCCTGTCACCTTATTGACTGGTTTGAATTATGAGCATCAGTGAGAAAAGCTAATATGATTGTTCAACCGCATTTCAGCGACACAGACATGACCTCATTTTAAAGAAACATAATATCGTCACCTCTCTGTAGTTCGTAATCGTACTTAACAATACTCTGTTGATGCTATCTCCATGTTGATTGGTTTGAAATATGAGCAACGTTGACCAAAGCTGAAGTAATGATTCGACCGGCTATCAGCGACACGGCCATGACCTCATTTTTACGACACAGATATTCGTCACTTATATCCCGCTTACAATTGCACTGTAACGTTCTTCTGTCACTGTTGTGACTTTGATGACTGGTTTGAATTGTGAGGATCAGTGAGAAAAGCTATTGTAATGATTTAACCGGATTTCAGAGTAATGACATGTACCCCATTTTGACGACAGAAAATCGTCTCTTATTTTTCGTTCTCAATTCAGTTCTAAGAAAAATCTATTGCTGATATCATCTTGATGATTGGTTTAAGGCATGTGCAACGGTGACAAAAGCTAAATAATTCAACCGGTTTCAGAGAATTGTCAGTTACCCCATTTTGACGACAGACTCAATGGTCTCTTAAATGCCGCTGATAATTGTACTGTATCAATACCCTGCCGCTGCGACCACCTTGATCATCACAATGATTCTACCGGAATTCAGAAAAATGCCATTTACCCCATTTTGACGACACAGTCAATGGTCTCTTAAATGTCGCTTATAATTGTACTGTAACAACACCCTGTCGCTGCTACCACCTCGATCATTGGTTACAGTATTAACCACGGTGAATAGCCTAAAGTAATGATTTCACCAGATTCGGCGACATGGTCATAACCCCATTTTCACGACACTGATATTGTCACTCATCTTCCGTTCAAAATCGAATTGGAACAATACTTTGTCGCTGCTGTCACCTTGATGACTGGTTTGAATTATGAGCATCAGTGAGAAAAGCTAATATGATTGTTCAACCGCATTTCAGCGACACAGACATGACCTCATTTTAACGACACATAAAATCGTCACCTCTCTGTACTTCGTAATCGTACTGTAACAATACTCTGTTGATGCTATGTCCATGTTGAATGGTTTGAAATATAAGTAATGTTGACAAAAGCTGAAGTAATGATTCGACCGGATATCAGCGACACGACCATGACCTCATTTTTACGACACAGATATTCGTCACTTAGATACCGCTTACAATTGCACTGTAACAATCTTCTGTCACTGCCGTTACTTTGATGACTGGTTTGTATTGTGAGGATCAGTGAGAGAAGCTATTGTAATGATTTAACCGGATTTCAGAGTAATGACATGTACCCCATTTTGACGACAGACAATCGTCTCTTATTTTTCGTTCTCAATTCAGTTCTAAGAAAAATCTATTGCTGATATCATCTTGATGATTGGTTTAAGGCATGTGCAACGGTGACAAAAGCTAAATAATTCAAACGGTTTTCAGAGAATTGTCAGTTACCCCATTTTGACGACAGAGTCAATGGTCTCTTAAATGCCGCTTATAATTGATGAGGCTGCTGCTGTCGACGAGCTGGAAGTGTCTTTGATAGGTAGCCGAGCGACCTTGACGATGGGTCGAGTATACTCGCCAGTGGCGGTTTTAACGGTGACCGCTCTCACGAGGCCATCTGATCCAGGCATGGTGTCCGTCACGCGGTCAAAAGGCCATCGGCCGTCCGGTCGAAGCAGAGTGGGGTCGAGGAGGATGACAAAATCCCCGACTTCAAAGTTAGGCTGAGGAGATTTCCACTTTGACCTCTGGAGGAGTGTATTCAGGTACTCCCGACTCCAGCGGGCCCAGAAGTTACTCCTCATGGCCTGGACGAGCTCCCAATGACTAGCTCTATCTAGGGGTTGGCCGGCACTGCTAGTCTGGGGATAAGAGGTGGCTGAAGTCCCGATGAGGAAGTGACTAGGAGTGAGGGCCTCGATGTCATCGAGGTCACCAGCAGGTGGAATGAGCGGGCGGCTGTTCAGAGTAGCTTCGATGGAAACTAGAAGAGTGGTGTGCTCCTCGTAAGTGAGGCGGCGAGAAGAGGCCACCCGCATCAAGTGTCTCTTCATTGACTTAACGCCGGCCTCCCACAGGCCCCCGAAGTGCTATGCGGAGGGCGGAATGAATTTCTACGAAGTTCCGTCCTTGGCGAGTTCGCCCTCGACAACGCCCCAGTCGATTTCGGCCGCTCGGAGCAGACGTCTCAGCTCCAATGCAGCTCCTCGAAAGTTGGTGCCATTGTCGCTCCAAACTTCAGCTGGTCTCCCACGCCTCTCGACAAACTGAGTGAAGGCTCCTAGAAAACTGGCTGTGGTGAGGTCGCTGGCGAGCTCCAGGTGCACTGCCTTTGTGCAGAGGCACACAAATAGTGCAACGTGGCAGCACCTCTCCCTTTGTTGCGGTACATGGAGAGCGGCCCGGCGTAGTCAACCCCGCACTTGGAGAATAGTCGAGCGGGGGTGACTCTGACCGGTGGTAGAGCGGCCATTTCTTGGGAGGCAGGGCGTGTAGTCAGTCGAGCACACAGTGTGCAGTGGTGTATGAACCTCTTGATGCGGACCCGAGCTTCGGTGATCCAAGCTCGTTGGAGGGCGCGAGAGTAGGTCGCTCGGAAGCCCCCGTGGAGGCAGCGCTCGTGGGCCCAGCGGATAACGAGCTGAGCGAAGGCGGACTTCCCGTGGAGTAGTATTGGGTGTCTCTCGTCGAAAGGCAGAGGCGACCGAGCGAGCCGTCCCCCGACTCGAACTACCCCGTCGACATCCATGAAAGGCTCCAGCGATTTGAGTTGGTGGCATCCTTGCAGAGAGCCGTCTTTACTGAGACGAGCTAACTCTTCGGCGAAATGTCTACGCTGCGAGATCTTGGCGCAGACGATGAAGGCATGCCGGAGCTCATTGGCGGCAACCGGTGCGAGAAGGCCTTCTTGGCATCTCAGGATGCGAATGGCCCGGGCCGTGCCTCTCAGGAGAGCGCCCAGCGACGAGAACCTCTCACCATTTCGGTAAAAATCTTCGTACAACCTGCAATGAGGCATGGCGACGTGGTCGCGAGAGGGACTGTTTCCTCCTCCTTGGGCCACTCGCTCGTCGGACGTGAGAGCCAGGCGGGACCTTTCCACCAGAGAGGGTGGTGAGCCAGCTGGGTGGCGTCTGTCCCGCGGGTGGCGTCGTCAGCGGGATTGCAATCGGTTGGCACGTGATGGAAGGCAACTCCCTCGGTGAGTTCCTGAATGTGTGCCACGTAGTTGTCAATGAGGTCATGACCGAATGGGCTGTCCGAGCGAAGCCAGTGAAGAGCCACCTGGGAGTCGTTCCACAGATGGCAGCTCGTCAGTGGAACGGAGAGGGCGGCTGCGGCGTTCCTTAAGAGTTGCGCCGCGATGAGCGTGGCTCTCAGCTCCAGGCGTGGGATCGTCATTCTGGCGCGCTTTTCGAAAGCCGGCAAAAGGCTCTTGATCGAAGCCAACTTGGACTTGGCGCCGATGATGGTCGTGAATCCCCGCCCGCCGCCCTCGGCCGCTCGAGAGTAGATCACGGCGGCTAAGGCTCGGCGACTTGCATCTGAGAATGCGTGGAGCTGGAGCTCCTGGCCGAGGAAATGGCTAATCCAGCGGCTGATGGCAAATCCCGTCGTTTCGTGGATGCTCGTTCGGAATGTGAGCCACTTGTCGGTCCAAACCTTGGGCAGATCCTCGTCCCAATCTAGCTTGGCTCGCCACATGTCCTGGATGAGGAGCTTGGCCACGAGAGTAAGCGGTGTGAGCCAGCCAACGGGGTCAAAGATCCCGGCAAGTTTTGCCATCGCTGTCCTTTTGGTGAGCCGGGGAGATGTCTCGGGGCTGCCGGGGCCGAATTTTAAATTGTCCTCCACCGGGTCCCAGGCCACGCCGAGCTCTCGGACCGGCCCCTCAGCAGACAGCTGTACTCAGCTGGGCCGGAGTCGATCATCGGGGGGGATCTCCTCGAGGAGAGCAGGGTCGTTGGCTACCCATTTGCGCAGGTGGAACCCACCCGCAGCGAGGAGGCCGATGAGTTGGTCTCTGATATTCCTGGTGGTGTCTAGATCATGGCCGCCGCTCAGGAAATCGTCTATGTACAGGTCTTGCTGTAAAACCTCTCGTGCGAGCGGGAACTTTTCGCCCTCGTCGTCGCTTAGCTGTTTCATCGTGCGCAAGGCCAAGTAGGGTGCGCAAGCGGTGCCGTAGGTGACCGTGCGTAGGGCGTAGTGCTGCAGCGGCAGGCAGGCGGTGGGGCTCCAGACGATGCGCTGAAGGTAGATGTCTCGGTCGTCTATGAGTACTTGACGGAACATCTTCTGCACGTCTGCGCAGAAGACGTATCGGTGCCTCCTCCAGCGGGTTAGTATGGTGGAGATGTGCTCTTGTAGTTTTGGGCCGGCATGGAGGGTGTCTATGAGGCTGATTCCGGAAGAGGTGGCTCGAGAGGCGTTGAAGACGACCCTGAGCTTAGGGCCGCTGTCGCTGCGCTGCCAGATGCCGTGGTGCGGCACGTAGTAGACGGTGCTTCTGTTCTCCTGAACTTCCGACTCCGAGAGTAATCTCATGTGGTCCAGTCGAACGTACTCCTCCATGAACTCCTGGTAACTCTCGCGCAGCGTTTGGTCGGCGAGCATTCGCCTCTGCATAGAGAAGAGGGCGGAGCGGGCGTGGAGTAGACTGTCAGCGAGCAAGGCGGCGTGTTCGCGCTTCAGCGGCAGCCGAACGACGTATCGTCCGCTTGTCTCGCGACGATTGCCTCGCGCGTAGATCGCTTCGCACTCTTGGTCAGCCGTGGAGATCCTCCTCGCGACCGGCACTTCCTCGAGAGCCCAGAAACGCTGGATCAGTGTGAGCAGTTCTTCGTGACTCAGATCGCTCGTGGCGCGAGCGGAGACGGCGTGGGTCTGGATGCTTTGACGGACGTCACTTGCTTGTTTGGAGTGAGCGGAGCCCATCACGGTCCAGCTGAACGACGTGTTCTGGGCGACAAGCTGTCCGAATCTCCTCGTGCCGGTTCTGATGATGCGGTGGTAGATGTCTGCTCCTATCACGACGTCGATTCGGCCTGGTCGGTGGAAGGTCGGGTCTGCGAGCAGGAGCTTATGCTTGAGCAGAGACAGTTTTGGGCCCGGCATTCCCGAAGGAGTAATGATAACGAGCGAGCGCAGAACGAAGGCCCCCGTCCTGATCGGAGGGCCGCGGAAGGCTCGACGATGTAGGCAGTCGCCTGATGTCTGGCTAATTCCATAGCTGGACCGGTAACCCCGGTAATGCTGGTGTTCGTGCGGCGGACGAGGTCGAGGCTAATGAGAGTGGCCTCTGAGCATGGATCTAAGAGCGCTCGGACAAGCTCTCTTTTTTCCCCGCCGCTGCTTATAGGGACGAGGGCGGTGGGGAGGACGGCCAGTTATGCGGAACCGTCGTCTCTTGGGGATGGTGCGCCGGTGGCAGCCGTCTGGAGCTGCGTAGTCGGTGTCTCCCCCGAGGTCGATGGGCAAGGCTCTTCTTCTCCTCGTCTGGATCTTCCAGCGCCCTCGTGGATGAGGGTATGATGCGCTCCGGAGCAGCTTCGGCAGGTGCCGCTGGAGGGGCAGTTCCTGGCGGTGTGGCTCCCGCTGAGGCAATTATAACAAAAACCCCGAGCGGCCACAAGTTTCCGTCGCTCCTCAGGGTCGAGGCCTCGGAAGGTGAAACAATGGCCGATGTAGTGAGCCTCCTTGCAGGCTGGGCATCCTCCCTTCACGAGACGCTCCAGTAGCGTGGGCGCGTATGGTCAAGGTGTCTGCGGGTCTCGAAAACTTCCGTTTCTCGGCCGGGGGGGTGAGAGGAAGTGCTGAGGGTTTGACCCAGAGCCCTCAGTGTGCAGTAGCGCCGCTGAAGAAACTCGGCGAACTCTTCAAAGGTCGCTTCAACTTTTGATAGCTTCGCGCCACGTGCCCGCTGCTCTATGTGTTCCTCCCAGGCTCGCATGGTTACTGAGTCCAGGGCGCGGCACCCCATGTAGACGAACCAGTCACCCCAGGCTCCGACTAGCCGACCGAGCCGCTCGAGTTGCGTGCGGCGCTTGTTTAGCTCGTCCAGCAAAGTCTGAAGGCTCTCTGGCGATTCCTCGGCGATGGTGTCAGCTTCACCAAGACAGCGAGGTAGTCCTTCACCTGCAGGCGCGGCTGGTCGTAGCGTCGACACAATGCCTCCCTGGCCTGCGCATAGTCGCCGTTGATCGAGCGAAAGGGCGCCAGTGCATCCTTGGCCACTCCTTCGACGTGAGTTTTGAGGTAGTTCATCTTCATGGCGATCCCCAGCGTGCTGTTGTTGTGCACGAGGTCGAGGAACAGATCCCTGAACGACTCCCAGTCCTCAGGCTTTCCTGAGAAGGTGGGTATGGAGAGGCGCGGCAGCTTCACGGCCGGGACTGTCGGATCCGCGGCGGCCTCCGAGGAAGTAGCAGTCAACGATGAGCGGTCTTCAGACGCGATGCAACGGACGTGGTGGTCCAGGAGAGTGCTCTTGCTCTCCATGAAAAGCTCCTCGGCGACCGCGTAGTCATTGCCTACCAAGTATTCCAAGACGGCGGCCTCCGATGAGGTCAACAGTCGGCCATGGTTGCCGTTCAGATTGTTCCAGTATCCCTCGAGTAGATCTAACCGAGTCTCGATGGCGCCGAGAGTCCAAGAGGCTGTCGGCGTGTCAGCTACCTTTTCGGCGATCCGACGGATGGCCTTTCCAAGCTCCCGCTGGACTGGGATGAGTTCCATCTGTGAGAGAGGGAGTTGTGTGAGAATCAAGATGAGTCGAGCGGGCTCGCGCGGACGGCCAAACTGTCACCCGAGGCTGACCTTTCACCACTCGGGGCCGCGCGCCGTACCGGCTCACCCGGCCCGCAGTTGGGTCCGCCAAGCGCAGTCGCCGCGATGCCTGGATCGGCCAGCCCGATGGCTCGTCGCGCGCTCGGTGGTCCGCCTACCGTCGTGTGCTCGAGGGCCTGTAGTTTCGTCGGCTGCCGCGCCGCAGCGCCTCGCCAATGCGTCGTTCTGAGCGTGAATATGGTGGGCTATTCCCCGCGCCGCTGGTTCCGCCCAGGCGCGCTGTCGTCGAAAGAGAGAGAAAAAAGGGGGAGGGGGATTCATCGGCTGCATCGGCAGGCGCGGCAGAGGTGTCGGCCGTTGCGTCGTTCTCGCATCCGATGGTCCACCCCCCAGTTGCCCTCAGTGTGTGCACGCGCCCAGGCAGGACCTCGCGTGCACGAAGACCTCGTGTGGGCGATCGCTCGCCCGGCGCCCGCCGTGCCGAGTTGATGCTATCATCGTCGAACGTCGCCCGCTGCGACGCCTGCTCTGTATACCGGCGGTTCCTCACGCGACTCAAGTGTTCACAGCCGTGGCGCTTATTGTGCCGAGTCGGTGGTCGTCGTCGCGCGCCACTCGCCCAGACGCCATGTTTGTGAGTCGCTGGGCCGAATTTCAACTATTTCTATCATCTAAGCTGTCGAAAGTAATTATACAAAATCAAAAATTGATGGTTGATTTGACAGAAAACGCCAATAAACTTAATTTACTTATAAATTATCAAGGAGGAAACTGTATAAAATTTAGTAGTACGTAGACGTATTATTATTAATAAATAAATATTCTAACTATATTTTTATATCAAAAGTTTATTTATTTATCCTTAAATCTACATACATAATTTTAGACTAACTCTCTTTTTTTTAAAGTTCACTTTTATCTAACCAACTATTATGCAAATTATTGAATCCTAGCCATTTCACAAAAACTCGATTATCACGCCTTTTAATCATTTTTTTAACTAGATATATGGGATGCTTCGTTTTTTGTAGTTCCTGCTCATAGAGACCACCAAGAAGGGAGATTAAAATTTGTAACCTTAATATTTTTTTAGTATACACTTTGAATAATTAACATTTAGTTAATTGAAATAATCAATCTACATCTTAAAATCTTGATCCATTCATAAATTTGGCTTTGCGAAGCTTATAATTCAATATTACCTACGAATGAAATGGAAACAAATTTCTGTTTAATGTATAGAATCTAATCGTATATTGTATTATAAATTTAAATTGATACTTTTTTAGATCTTCTACGTTCTTGTAAGATTGTATAAAATATTAATAATAAAAAGGAGCCTGTTCAGTTACTTGTTCATACGAAAAAGACATTACGAAAAAAATATTCAAAAAGTTGTATTGTGCCAACGGTAAAGCACGGTGAAGGATCTATTATGGTTTGGGGCTTTTTTAGCGGATCAAACGTAGGAGATATTATAAAAATTGATGGGATTTTGAGTCCAATTGAGTTTTTGTGGGAAGAACTAGATAAAGCCGTGAAAAAAAAAACTTTCAACTTCTGCAAACGATCTATGGAAAATAATACAAGCAGAATGGCAGCAGATTTCATCAACGACCTTGGAGAACTGAGAGAATGTTCAGACTTTGTAAAGCTGTTATAAAAAGCAAAGGCCATCATTTCGACGAAAAAATGGTTTAATGCGTCTGCAAAAAGCTTCATCAGAATATTATTTTTTCTTCGTTTCAAATTAAAGTTTATTAAAATTAAATTTACAAAATTGTTCATGTAATGTAGTGTCCAATAATTATGAATATTTCGGCTCACGAGTTTTGATGTACATATTTAAATTTTCTTGACAATAAAACAATTTGCATATTCTATTCCCACGTAATATTTTTTACTCTAATTTCTATGTACCATACTTCAATAATATATCAACAATATATTACTATGGTAAAAAATAACAAAAAAAGGTTACAAGAACATTTACTTTTTATTTATTTTTTCTAATCATTAGTATTGATTAGTTTTAATAGATTAGATTAATTTTTTTACTTACATTGAGACAAAAAAGAGCAACAAAAATGTTCTTATTTCAAATCAAATATTATGTAACGGTCCAGTATAATTTGCTCGTTTAACGCCTTTGTATTCAGACAGCATGCTCATTGTTTAATGTTAAAGAAGTATCAATGCTCAAGAGCATCTTTGACATTACATAACATAAACAGGTGATCAACTCATCTAAATAAGGAGCGTGACGTCCTAGCTAGCAAGACCTTTAAACTGGCGATACAGCTTTCAAAACAACGACTTTAAATGAATGAAAATATTGTCGAAAGCCATTAAAGAGACTAATCATCTTACTCCCAACTCAAATATAATTTGAACACTTGAATTCTATTAAAAGATGATATTTTAACGACAAAGCATAATAACTAATAATTAAGCGCAACTTATAAAAATAGCTATAGCAAAAAAATTCATTTCTGATTGACGAACTAAACGATAGATTGAATTTCATACAATAAATAAACATAGTAAAATGTACCAATGAAACAGAACTATTTTAGACCTACACTTAGATATAAATAATTCATAACTTCTATGACAATTCACGTTGACAATTCGACTAAAACAAATCTTGTACGAAAGAGGATTTTCTCTAGGCTAAAAATCCTATTTCACCTAAGCGATTAATATGAGCTTATCAATGTTGTGCGTACTAGCGAGGTAGCGTTAATAATCTAACGAAAAATAGCCCCGATTCGCATTTATAAATACGTTCGTCGTATCTGTCTCAAGAAAGTCTGAGTACGAGGCTTCACCGAGTAGTGGCACGAGCTCTGTTCGAATAAAAATCTAGCTAACTCCTATGACGAGTAATTCTTTAACAGCAGCAGTCCTTACTCGTCACCTTATCCTATCCTTGATGATTCCGTGCTCAACTTAAGAGAGGAATAAATCTCTTAAGCAAAAGTAGCCGAATCTTATGTTTCACGCTTTCCAATTACAAATTATACTGTACAAGTCTATAAGAATTAATAACGACACTATTGAGCTCAGCTCAATAGACGCATCAATTTCTTTGGCACTTTGCTAAACATGTGGTAATAGATAAAAAAGAAAGCCTATTTGGAAGGCTAAATAAGTTTCATTAAGCACATTGCACTATTAGAAGAAACAGGAGAAACGCGTAAGGTCAAATAGCTCAATAACAGAGAGTCTGATCAATCTTTCGATATCGTTTTTGTTTTAATGTATGATTCTGGATGACATAAGAACGTGACATTACAATTATTTTCATGACTGTTGAGTTTCAAGAA